AGGGCCAAGCAGGGTCATTGAATCCTCACCAGATTATCCAGCCACTCTTCCCAGCCAGCCTTATGTAATTTGATCCTAATTACACATGGCCTTCTGGTTTCTGGGAGAGCTAAAGTATACAATCTGGGGAAGGCTAGGAAGAGAAGGCATGGCCTATGCTGGGTAAAGGCTTTCCAGTGTGCATACCCTCAGGTCATACATCCACCTCAGCAACCCCTCAGTTATTTAAGCTCAGTAAATTCATCAGTTCCCCAGTAAAATTTTAATCAAACATTGGCTTGACACTAGAACCTTAAAGGGAATAAGCATTGTTTAGCATCCCCAGGAAAAGAAGTCTCACAACAAATGGAAAAGTTATTTGTTAATGCTATTATATCTCATAATCATTTAAAAAAAGAAAATGAGAATGTAAAAGATGTTAAAAGGATATAGGAATGGAGATATTTTCCAAAATAAACAGAAAAAATGAGAAAGCCCAAGCAAGTGAAGAAGGTCTGTTTAGGTTTATTATGATATATAAAGGAAGAGACAAAAATAGCATACACATAATCTTAAAATTTCTATGGTCACTGTTTAGTCAACTAATTTAAGGAACAAAATATATATCTAGTCAAGTTTTATCTGAGAATATTTGGTTTTCTACCCAAGCCTTATCTACATAGCACATGATTAAATGAAAAGTACCAGACTGGTGGAACTAACCTTATTGGATGTTTAACAGCCATAATTTGAAGCCTATACTAATCTGGTCAGAGGAACTTAAAGGACAATTTTTCCCCCTTACCCTCCAAGGTCGACTAAATTCCAGGGGATTATGGAACATCTCTCAAAATGTCATGTAACTGTGGTGAGTCACCTGTCCTCTTGTTCAGGGAGTACATGGAAACCCCACAAGATGGACGTGAATCAATCTACAGAGAGGAGGTTCAACTCAAAGAAAACATCTCATTCATGCTGCCAAGTGAAGCCAGACATGGTTAAGCAGGACCTTTGACTTATCTTCACATACATATAACTCCTCCCAAGCCCATGTGACCCCTGAGGAACAGATCCTCAAATGACCTTAAGTGTAAAAATAAAGAGATTTATTTTGGCCAACTGTATGGTCTTAAAACACCCAAAAGGAAAGTATAACCAGAGTAAAGTCATCAGTATATTTCTTTAAGAGTTCTAAGGATTACACTTCCCAGACATTAGGCTTAAGTCTATATAAAAAGTTATTTAGACAATTATTTCTCACTGATGATTTTGTTCCTAACCAGAAAGTACTGCTCAGATGTAAGACTTCAGATCTTGGTCTCCAATACTATAGTGCCCACCTCTAGCTGAGGAAGACAATCAGCTTTTTTCTAAAATGATGGATAAATTTGTTTTCTCCTCCTATCTAGAAGCCTTTGAAAGGGAACCGACACTAATTCTAACCACTCCTCAGCTATCAAAATACCTGAAAGCAAATCCTGAATCCATAACTCTAGAGTACAGCCTTGGAAGACAAAAGAAAAATGAGGAATAACCCAATAGAGGGATGATTTTGGAAGTCCTTGTCAAGAAATTCCAATGGACTCTCATGTGAACATTTGAAAACTTCCCTGTTCTGATTTTTTTCTAGTTTCCTGTCTAGAACTTGTAATGCTAATTACTCTTGCCTTTACTTCTCCTTCACATCTCCTATTCATGATTAAAAGACTTTTTTTTCCCCTTAGAGATAAGAGTTATGCAATTTGGGAGTCTTTCACATAGACCAGTTGCCTCACCCTGTGTCCCTGTTCAGCATAGAAGTCAGAGCAGTCTGTGACCCTATTCCCCACTGGCAATTTGGGTAACCTCTTCAGAGGATGGTGTGATAAGAATAGGAGGTAAGAATTGTCTATGCTGTTAGGGTAAAAAGACCCCAAAGAAAAGTAGCCAGTTTCTTGGCTAAAAGTCAAAATGTCCTTGGGCCTCTTAGCAACATACCCTGTTCCAAAGGCCAAAAATGTCTAAAGTATTTGGGAGCTTGTATCTAATCTTTAAAAGATTTTAGAGTTACCTCTTCAGAAGGGGGAATGTTAGAGTATCCAAAAGCCCCCCCAAAAATAAATCAATCAAAGAAAAAGGGAAAAAAAAAAAGAGGGAGATCATGAGCAGAGAACCCAGCCACACCATAAACAGTACTGGATATTGCTATATTGCTTTAAGCTGCTAATTTTGTGATAATTTGTTACTCATGAATAGAAAATGAATACACCTGTGTTTGTTTTGCCAACACAAGTAAAGCAGGTTCAAAAATGCATGAACAAAATGGTTCATCCACTTACAAATAGGCTAGATTCCAAATAGCTTTACTAAGGGTGTTTCCTTACAAATCTCAAGTGATATTATGCAGATGACTAATAGCTTATCCAGAATGGGAAAATAATGATGTGTTTTTGCTTTCATGCCTTGCATATTTGTATCCATAAAAGCTGGTCATAAATGAAATGTTTATTCTTTTTTTTTATTTTTTGGGGTTTTTTAAAGACAGGATCTCCCTTTAGACCCAGCTTGTCTGGAATTCACTGTGTAGACCACGCTGGTCTTGAACTTACAGAGATCTACCTGCCTCTGCTTCTTGAGTGCTGGGACTAAAGGCGTGTGCCACCACACCCAGAAGCTATGTTTATTCTTACAGAATTACATATCTGTAGCTTTAACTTGGGCTCCTGCAGTTTTTGTTCATCACTGCTGTCCATGAGATATATTCCCCAAAAATTTTCTTAAAAGGAAAACACTTTGCTTTTTATTTTTATTTTATATGTGTACGTGTCTGTGTATGTGAGTGCAGGTGCCTCAGGAGGCAAGAGGACTTGGATCCCTCCTGGAGCTAAAGTGACAGGCAGTTATGAGCCGCCAGATGTGGGTGTTGGATACTGAACTTGGGTCCTCTGCGTGAGCAACAAGTACTCTTAACTACTTACTAAGCCATCTCTCCAGCCTCCTCAAAAAAGATAACACTTAAGATGAAAATTTGCACTCTAGTGTGTTGGTCACCATTTCCTCCAGATGCTCACCGCTCCTGTGTCTGGGATTTGAAGATTTGCCTCCTATGGCACTTCAGCATATTTGAAGCTGAGCCATTCTTCTTTCTGCCGCTGAGTCCAAAGTTCCATCTGTAACGTTTGAGTTTGTGTGTGGGTGGTAGTGTGATTTTCCATAATCTACATTCTCTATGTTTTCTACCCAGAGGAACTGTTCTATGATAAGGAGACAGATTTCAATGCTTGTAAATGTCCTTAAGTTCTAGCCTTTTTTCTTTGGGCTTCTTCTGTTTTCCAGTGATTTGGGACACACTACTAACATTCTCTGAAAACATTAAGGGACTCAGAAGTGGCAGAACTCCGTTTCTTGAAGCTGAACTGAGGTTTGGTCTCTTGATGTCTTGGTCAGAGACTCTTCCGGCAACTAAAGGCCACCTATTCCTTGCCAACTGGTTTCTCCATTTTTAAAACCAGAAATAGATCATCTCCCTCACATATGTGAACCTCCATCATATATGAGTAAATAGATGATGAGCATGTAAACTGTAAGGTTATAAGGAATTCAAAATGCATCTAATCAAGAGATAGTCTGCCACTGAGGAAAAATATGTCCTAGAAGTAGAAGACCTGAGTTTGAGAAGTCTACACTCTCTATTATATGAGGGAAATCACTTTGTATCTCTAAATGTAGGTTTCTTCAGTTAGAGTGTGGTTGGATTATAGTAAACCCTCTCTAAGTGTTCTTTCACTTCTGACTTAGATTTCAAGTCATTAAAAAGGCTCAGTACTGCCTGTGGAGGCCAAGTGTGGGGAGCCAGGGATGGAGTCTGAGGAGCTGGGAGAGTAAAGATTGACAGAGTCACTGGCAAATGAACCATGCTTTTTTTCTTCAGGGGAGGGTGCACAGGCCACTGGCAGGTGGCCTCCAGGTGACAGCTCCTGTATCATTGGTCTTGTAGACTTTGTAAGAACTCACACAAAGGTGGCCTCTTGCCCAAACTAGTTACACAAAACAGATCACATCACTGTTTACTTTTGGGCCCCCCCAGATATCTGATGTAAGCCATTTTGTGCTGATTCATAGAGCTCTAGATATCTAACCTTAGCCATCTTGGTCCCTGTCAGAAATTTATATTAATTCCGTGTTAGCTAAACTTATAGAGGCCCATGTGACCCTGATTCCCTACACAGCCTCTCCTTGTGGAGCTTCTGCTTACTGTTAAATTTGAGTGTATTAGATCAGGCCATCAGAGGATAGACAGAATGTCTTTACCCAGTTCTCTGGGCTCTTCTAATCAATTGCTTACATGGCCAATATTTTCCACACGCAGAGTTCAGACCTGTCAGTTTCCACTGGTTTATTGGACAAATGTACTTATTCCAAAACTATTATTTTTCTTACCCATTTAGGTTCAAACTACTGTACCTATTACCTTGGTTTTAATACACAAGAATAACTTTATGTTCAAAAGAAATTTTTCTTATTAATTAACCAATATACACTAAAAGTTTACTTA